CTTCCCATCGCTGTTTGGCATGGTTCTGGAAGTTGGTTTGGCTAAGGGGCTACTTACCCATCGATGGGATGTTCTTCCCATCGCTGGGTGGGTGGTTAGCCAAAAACCTATGGTTTTTGCCTTAACCACGGCCTAGCCAACCGATGCAAAAACCGACCGAAAAATCCAAAGTTCTCCAAAATAAAAACCAAGTGTTTAAAACACTTATTTGATGTATTTGGCTAAGAAATCAAGTGAGACACTTTAAAAATCACGTCATTTGAGTAAAAACCACGGCTAGCCAAGTTTACGCCGTTTTGCGTGGTTTTTATCAAACGACTAAAAGCGAGAGATGGTTTTCAAAGTGTTTTTGTTGGAGAACCGTTTAAACATGCCAAAGAGTGAAAGCAGATCATAAAATGCTGAAAACCACTTGGTTGGTTCGGATGCCAAAAACCAAACCCGACAACCGAAAGCCGAACGCTGGTTTCTGAAAGCCGAACACTGGATGGCTTGGTTTTTGGTTTGGGCGAACACCAAGTGTTTTTAATGACTTAAACAAGTTTAAAACCATTTTTATGATGTAAGAAATGCAATGAGAGTTTTTAGCCTAAAGAGCCAAGGTGTAAAGATTGGGTCGGTCTTGATCACAATAAAGACCGACTCAATACTATGATTAAGGTCTTCGTTCTTGGTCTTCGTTTAGCTCTTGCTCTTATCTTCGTTCTTCGCCTTGTATATTCAATGTTCGACTTGATCACGGCGGTTTGGCATTATCAAAACCTGTTACAAAAACGAACACAGCTTTAGTACGAAAACGTGACAAGCCCGTGTTTCAACATAGATTACGTAAAATCAACATTTTGTTAAAATGTGATCCTAAGGTCCACGTTAAAATGTGAACCTTCTTATGTTAGCCTTGGTTTGCTAAGCCTTGTGTTTTGATGTTAACAAACAATATAAAAGTTTAACGTTTGTTCAAATGTTTCAAGTACAACAAGAATCCATTAAGATTCATTCTCAAAAATGAAGTTAAAACACTAAACTAGTGTAGAATATAGGTAGAAACTGATGTAAGGATATGATTTTATATACCTATATTCACAAGCTCAAAAGCACTCACAAAATATTTTTAAAACCATCCCATAAACATTTTCAAATATCTAAAAGGTTTTAAACCCAAACACGAAGGATTAAGGGAATTTTGGAAAAATCAGAACAGAGCCACGGTACCCCAAGTGGTACCCTATACCGCCTACACGGTAGGGTATACCGCCTACACGGTACCCCAGTACCGTTAGACACCAGGTACCGCCAGAGCCGAATGGATTTTTAGTGGCACACGGTACCGAGGTACCGCCACTCACGGTATCCCCTACCGTACGCACAGTACCATGCTACCGTGAGGACGGTACCGGCCTACCGTGACCGTTGGGTTGCTATTCCTGATTTTTAAGTTTGAATTAAATCAACCCTAATCACCTCCCAACGGCTAATTTACATCCTCCACTATAAATACAAGCCTAATCCTTCATATTTATTATAGAAACAAAGCTCCAAACATCCTTCCTTTATATTCTAAGTGTGTTCATTCTTTTATTCATTATTTTCAATATTTTGGCTATTTCAAGAGCCTTAAAATCCTGATTTTTATACACACACTTTGAGCTTGTGTTTCTAGTTATATACTCTCATATTCATAAGTTTGTATTTTATTTTTGAGAGTGTATAATTTCCATCTACACCGGCTAAGATTTGTTCTTCATTTTTATATTCTAGCCGTTGTGTAGAACCTTTGTTTGTGTTCTTCATACACACTTTCTTACGGTCGAGAATAGCCGTTAAATTCTCACGTTGTAACGGTTAAGGATAGCCGTATAAATCCTTTGGTAGAAATTAAAGGATAGCCTTTGAAATCCTTGGGCGAACGGTAGAAGATAGCCGTTAAATCTTCGTTGTAAACGGTTCGACTCGAACTCCTTCTCAAGGATCTCCGAATCCACTAAGTCCCGATCTCTTGAACTCTGTCAAAGCACCGCACTAGTATGGCAAACAACTCTTGCTAATAGGATTCACTGCGAGATTTCACAATGGCTATCTCGAACCGTTCGAGATAGCCATTGTGAAATCTCGGAGTGAATCCTATTAGCAAGGGTTGTTTGCCATACTAGTGCGGTGCTTTGACAGAGTTCAAGAGACTGGGACTTAGTGGATTCGGAAATCCTTTAGAAGGAGCCTCGAGGTACTAGAGTAGGGAGTTCCCGAACCAGTACAAAATCGGCGTGCATTTTATTTACGGTTTTATTTCTACGTTTTATATATTGCTTCCGCATTTGCCAACACCGTTTTTTGTTAAACTCCGAAAAGTTTTCAAACGCTTTATTCGGCCCCCTCTCTAAGGCATGGGCACAACAACAAATACCGACTAACATATTACACTTTTCATGGACCGGTAAGTGAATATTTTTTAAAAAAGATCCAATTCTTTTATGATATTAATACACCAAGGTCTATAAAATGAGCATGAACCGTTGGACTGCGGAAAAATTTGCCTTATAATAAAACTTTTAATCCCCCCCTCCCCGCACAAAAAAAACTTTCATTTAATAAATAAGATATACTCCGTATTTTTTACCTCTAAATCAATGTCATGCGGGTATTTGTTTATGATATGTTATAATTAAGTTATTTTTTATTCTATTTATTTCAATATTGATGTAAAATTGAAATGTATAAAATATTTTAAAAGTAACACTAAATTATTTATAAAACAAGTGATGACTGCACTACAATTGTGTCAAAATAAAAAAATACTATACGTAATTTTATAGTTCGAATATATTGATTTTTATGGTTTGATTTTAGTACTAGACAATTTAAATTCCAAAATATATTATTTTTCATTATATATTATGATATGATATTCTTAATTAAGTTATAGAATACAATTGTTCAACATTACAGAGGAAATATAATTAAGGAATAGATAAAATCAATTTTATTAGAAAATACAAGTATTTTCCAATTTTGTATTTTTTTCACTTCATTTATAATAAAACCGACAGGGTTCTAGTGACACCCACTTTTAAGGACACTAGCGGTGCCACTGTCATTTTGGGCACTTCCGGTGGGTTGGGGGTAGGAACCGTCAATTTTACGAACGGAGCACCGGAAATAATCCAAAATGATAGTGGCACCAGAATGTCACCATACTCCGATGTCACTAGAACCCCACCGCAATAAAACTATCAAGGAATAAATGAGATTCTCTTCCCTAAAAAAATATACTTTCTTAATCTCTAATACAAACAGTGACAAACAGTTAATCACTAACTCTGATGCAAATTAAACAGCTAAACTCTAACTTTGTTCCCATAAATAAATTCATATTTGTTTATGACATGTTTAAAGAACGTTGGTTTGTATTTTATTTATTTTCAATATTAATGTAAAATAAAATATAAAAAAGCATTTTAATCTTTACATTAATATGTGATAAAATAAAAAAGGACTAGAATATTGTTTTAAATGATCGAACATTTAAATTAAATAAATTAAGAAACGAAGATTTTCACAGGCTTGAATGATTATGTGTTCAAAGGAAGGAAAAAATTGGAAAAAAATACTATCAAATATTTTGTAAATTTCTATTCAGAATCACCAGATTAATAATTTTTTTATATTGATTTTCTTGAGCTAATGTATGGAAGTGCAAATCCATGCTAATCCATGCTTTTATTTTTTTGAGGGAAGTGCAAATCCATGCAAATCCATGTTAATCCATGCTAATGTAGGGAAGTGCTTATTTTTTTGAATCATAGTATTGATAATCCATGCTTTTATTTTTAAATCATGTGTGGAGAAAAGAATCATTTTTTTTAATCAATGCAAGATAGGGGATCATATTAATGCATGAGAGATGAATAATATTATTGATTTCACTATTCTAAATTAATGCGGCGATATGTGGTAGAAGAATCATATTCTTTGAATCATAAGGTTGTATTTAGTTATCAAATTTCTAAATTAATGCGAAGGAGACCTGATAATCATAGGATCAGAATTTTTATGAAAGTAAAGGATTTTAGAGGTGATCCAATTTTGTTCCATTCCTAGGATTGCACGGGTTAAAATTCATTTTATTCACATTATTTTATGGTTTTGATCAATGATAATTTAGAATGTTTTATTACAAAGTGTTACTTTACAATAGATATGAATGTAAGCACTACAATTAAGTGTAGACACTTAAGTATCTATTTAACAAGTAAAATTTGCACTAAATAGGACTAAAACATAATGACTTTCCCAATGTAGGACTTAAACTTTTTTATTCCCTAAATAGGACTTAATAATGACCTAGTGGGAAGAATAATGTCCAGTAATGATGGACATTTACTTGAATAATGACTACTTGTTAATGACCAAAAGTCCTACATTGGGAAATAAAAACATATGGTCCTATATTGGAAAAGTCATTATGTTTTAGTCATATTTAGGTAAATTTCTCATTTAACAATGTATAGTTGAGTTTAAAAAGTTTCTAAAAAGGTGGACTATATCCTTTCCATTACTATAATATTTGAGACTCGGATCACAAAATTTTGACATGCGGCAGGTCTATTTGGCAATTTTTAACATGTCATCCACCACCTATTTATTATGTTAATGAGTTGGAAATTTTAGTTAATACAAGGACTAGTGATTTGACATTATTTTATTTCTTTTTTTAATTTATTAAACATAGTGATCAAATTAAAACTACACATGTCCTCTAAAAATTTTCTGTTTTGATTTTTTCTGGTCAAATAGTGATATTCTCTGACCACAAAATAAACATAATTTCAATAAATAAATGTTATAAAAAATTGATATATCAAAAGTATATCCTAAGATGAACCCAAGTGTATTGAATTTATATTGAAATTAAATATACTTTTTCATAATTTGTAAGGAAAGAGTGCCACTATTTGGACAAAAAGTCAAAACGAGTTTAGTGCGGTTAATCTTAAGAATTAGTAACTAGATTATCTTTTAACGCACCAATTAGTTTTTCAAGTAATATGTTTGACCAATGAAATTTTTATAATATATTAGTAAAAATATTATATTAAACATATTATTCGGATATTAAAGTCTAAATTTTTATTTTTTATTTCATTCTATATTTGTTTGTTATTCTAACTTGCAGGACAGGTACCGCGGATTTTTGGGAGCTATTAGTCCCCACTTTGTTCCAATGAATTATGCTGAGGCCGTCCTTCACTCCAATTGGCGTGATGCCATGCACAAGGAAATTCAAGCCCTGGAGAATAATCATACTTGGGATCTCACGACATTACCTCCCAACCGGACAACTTTGGGGTGTCAATGGGTTTTTAAAACAAAATTCAACTCTAATGGTAATAAAGAGTGTGACAAGGCTAGACTGGTTGTTCTTGGGAATCACCAGACATTGGGAGTTGATTATACATGTAATTTTGCTCCCGTTGCAAAAATGGGATCTGTTCGGGTGCTCCTGGCCGTCACTGCTGCTAAGGGGTGGCAAGTCCACCAGCTTTATGTCAACAATGCTTTTCTTCATGGCGATTTGGTGGAGGTGGTTTACATGCGTCTGTTGCCTGGTTATGCACAGTGCCATCCAGGCAAGGTGCGCCGCCTACGTAAGTCTTTGTATGGATTGCGTTAGTCACCCCAAAATTGGTTTGCTAAACTGACATGCGCCCTCTACCGCTATGGTTTTTCACAGGCTCATGCTGATCATATCTTATTCGTTCATCGTCGCGGTCCCGATATTTTGATTGTTCTG